AAAAAAAAAAAGCCTTCAATCATTGTCTTGTGAGATTGATTTATTTATTTTTGTTCTTTCTTTCTTTCAAAAAAAGAAAATTTCCTCCCCAATTTTATATTCTTCACAACAATCTATGTATATAGATGAGGTTGAGAATAGAGGGAAAATTTTTTTCGTTTTCGTTCGTTTGTGCTTGACAAAAATCGAATTTTAAAATTGATCCATTTAACAAAAAAAAACAAAGAAATTTTTCATTTCTTAGATAAATATATAAAATGAAACCATGGTCGCCATAGACGCCAAATAACAACAACAACGATAACAACAAAAAACTTATAAAAAAGTTTTTTTGGCTAAATATTTCGTTATATATCGTAGGTTTTTCGTTTTTTTTAAATGGGGGAATAATATTGATGGTGGGCATAATAATCACGAGTTTAAGAAGAAAAATTTGGTAAAGTAATAATGAAATCGAATGTACCATTCGAACCGGTTTCACATATATGAAACAAAAAACAAAAACAAAACAAATCATTATCATTATCATTGTTTTTGTTTCTGTTTCTGATTATTTCGATGACAATTGTAATGTAATAGGATTTTTTTCTCTCTCTCTCTCTCATCTAAATAATAAAAAAAAACTTTTATTTTATTTCATATCTCTTATTTACAAAAGGTCTGGGTCAATGTAATCTGGAAATTTAGCATTTATTACAAAAGATAAATAAACAAATAAAAAATCAATATTCACCTGGTTCTTCTTCCAAACCAGGGAGTCCTTCATCTACATCCCAGAGAGTACCTCTTACTCCCCGATCCTTACATACAATCTCGAATGTAGATTTCAAATCTAAATAATAATAATAGTAATAATAATGATCTTGGATGATGATAATATATGAAAAACAGAAAAACAGAAAACATAAATAATGAGATGAGAAAAGCATATTATTTGCTATTTGGATCGATATTGAAATCTAATGTTGTTTTGGTTCGTTTTGGTTTTCTTTGGTTCTTTTTGGTTTTCTTCTTGGTATTTTTCATACAAACAAACAAACAAATACTGATATAAATTGTGTGTAGGTGTGTGTGTGTAGGTGGATATTATATTCTTAAACGATTGACAAACAAAACAAATTGAGAAAATTAAGAAATATAAAGAATCAGAAGGAGAAATAAATGAAAATAAACTTTTCAAGTTCATCATTATGATTTATGAACTGGATGAAAAAAAATAAACTCATAAGGATGGATGGGTGTACACAAAGCAAAAAACTTGAAAGAAATCTTGGCCATTGGCCAATATAATTAACTTGTTTTTTTGTGTGTTAATCATTGAATTGAAATGAAAAAACAAACAAAAATTCAAGGACAAATATTATGTGAAATGTATATGAATTATTCGTATTGCACACTTATATTCACAACATTAAAATATCATGCATATCAAGGGCAACAAATTCATTTTCGTTGATTTTTTTCAAAATAAAAAAATAAAAAATTCCTATCCGATATATGTGAATATGATTTTTCCTGTTTGAATCCATTTCGATTGATTTTTTGTTGTTTTTTTTCCAAAACAAAAAGAATTAATAAGCAAAGAAACTAGCCATAACAGTGAGAGAGAGAGAAAAACAGTTAGAAAGGTTAAAACAAAATCCTGCAGGATCACATGATAATGATGATGATGATGATGATCTGCAAATGACGTTTTAAATGCAAAGGAAAAGGAGATATACTCTCTGTTGCTTTATGGTTCTAAAGAAGAAAATCAATTGTCAATTCCATCCAAATCATCATCATCATCATCCAATCATTGACAATCATTTTGATTTTTTTACTTTGTTACAGTGTGTGTCTGTTTAAAATATTGCTAATGTCATCAAAGAATAATTTTATTGTACATTGATCTCATCATCATAATCATCATTGTCTAAAATTCTTAGTCTAATCTTCTTTTTCTCCAGGTCGTCGTTGTTGTTGGTTTGACATTCAATTTTATCCTTGAATTTATTACCTATATTTTTGTTGAAAATCAATAATTTCTTTCTAAAGAAGGCCAAAACAAAAACAAAAAACAAAATAACAATATTTTCTAATGATAAATTGATGATATCTGATCATCATCCAGATAATTATCGATAAATGTGAAATCCTTGAAATCATCAACCAGTAATTTTTTGGATAGTGAATTTCGCTGTTTGTTTGTTTTGTTTGCTTTTTATGTTTGTGTAATAATTGTTGATGTTTACAACTACATCGGTGATTAAATAGAAGAAGAAAATGGATTGATGAATGAATGAATGGATGAAACGAACCGGTAAGTTCTTTGTATATAAAAAACAGAAAAAAAACAAAAACTTTCAATTTTTTACATTCAAAATTCACTATCTGATCGTTTTTTTTTGTTTGGCTGGGAATATAATTAATGAATAAAATAAAAAAACGAAAGGGGTTTTTACATTCATTTTTCGGTGAAGAATTATGATGAAATAATCATTAGAAATGTACGTATACGTGCATGAAAACAAAAACCTGTTTCATTTGAAAAGAATGAAAGAAAAAAATCAATGGCAAAATTTTATCACTATTCTCATACACTCATTATCATTATGATCTACTCGAATGATTCTCTTGATTCTCATTAAAGAATCGACAAAAGAAATTAGATAAATTCATCATCATTATCGATTTTAGGTGTTTGTCGAGTATTTTCTTTGAAAATTTGTTCAATCAATCAAACAACCGTTATAGAGAAAACGAATGATTATGATGATGATGATGATGATGATGTAATTTATTATTTTTTTATTTTCAAGTGTGTTTTTTTCTCTTTTTTCTCCACTCTAATTATGATATTAATCATTAGGAATTGCAAAGAAAAGAAAAGAAAAGAAAGCAAACAAACAAACTTGATATCTAACTAGATACCATTTATTACGCTTATTAAATAATAAAAAAGAAGAAAGAAAATATTAGTGACAATCACCATAGTAACCATCTTGTTTACAACTATTTAAAATACATCAGGTAGTTTTTTTTTCAAATCTACTGTTCAATTTTGATCAGTTTTTTTTTTTGATTGACAATCATTAATTACATCATAATCTTTTGTGTTTGTGTGATGTGTGTGTGGATTGCTGACTACTAAAAAAAACGTAAATCCTGTTAAGATTTCTAAGCAAAAAAAAAATTTACCTGTCATTCTTGGAAGCTTTATTTTATTTCATTTTCAAAACACCTGTCACACCTACGCATATTATATGTGTGTATTTTTTCTCTAATGATCATTTCTTATGTTTTTTTTTTTTTTTTTTTTTTGAAAAAAATCATTTAGGTTTTTGACCAATTTTTGAAACAATGTAATTGAACTTTATTGACCATNAAAAAACGTAAATCCTGTTAAGATTTCTAAGCAAAAAAAAATTTACCTGTCATTCTTGGAAGCTTTATTTTATTTCATTTTCAAAACACCTGTCACACCTACGCATATTATATGTGTGTTTTTTTTCTCTAATGATCATTTTTTTTGTTTTTTTTTTTTTTTTTTTGTTGAAAGAAATCATTTAGGTTATTGACCAATTTTTGAATCAATGTAATTGAACTTGATTGATCATTTGTTTTAGGGAACAACAATAGGTTTAGGTGTTTTGTTTGTTGTCAAAAATCAAATGAAATTCATTAGTTTCAAAAATATAAAAATTCATTTCCCAAACAAATGATGGCGTTGATGTTTGGATATTTCCAAAAAAAAAATTATATCAGCATGAATCATGTATGACCAGTAATCAAAAAAAAAAAAAAATATGACCATCATCAATATAACTACTACCATTATCATCATTATCAATAGGATTTTTGCTTGTGTGTGTGTATTGCACATGATCAAATTAAACAAAAAAACCAAAGATCATGTAATTTATTGGTCGATTCTTGCAAAAAAAATGAACCAAAACAAAACTATACTTTTTTTTTTATTTGGGACTTGTCTCATTCGATCGAAGTTTCTCGAAAATTATAGAAAGAAAAAAAAAAATACTAGCGCAGTTTGGCCATCATTATCATCATCATCAGACATTACTACCACCACCACCAACCAACCAACCAACCAACCAACCAACCAACCAACCAAAACCACTACGTCATACATACAATCAAATATCATAATGTCGCGATCAAAAAGAATGGAGAGAGAGAGAGAGAGAGAGAGAGAGAGAGAGAGAGAGAGGGAGAGAGAGAGAGAGAGAGAGAGAGAGAGAGAGAGAGAGAGAGATACCCTTGTATTATCATTTTCAGTGGTTTTTTTTTGTTGGATTTTGATCTTCTTTTTTTTTTGTTGTTGTTAGTCATTCTTGCTACAAGTAGCAGTCAACAGCGAAAGTATGGATGATGTATGTGGATGAATATAAAAAAAATGAAATACAAAGGGCAAAAATCCAGAATAACACACACACACAAACAAATCGAAAAAAGACATTTTTTTGGTTTTATGTGTTATGATGATGGTATAAATGTCATCACTAAGCACGTTGCCAAAACACCAAAAAAAAAATGAAAAAGAAATATGGATTCGAAAGTGAAAGTGAATGTAGCTGTATCATCAATGTGACCAAAAAACCAAAAAACAAAAAACAAAAATCTAATTAAACGGCGCGATAATTTAGAATTGTTAATGTTTTTTGAAAAAAAAATAATGAATTTTTTTGTTTGAATCAACTTAATCAACCTTATTTATTTACTTTTTTTCTAAACAGTTTAACACCTGTTGTTTTATGAATTCATTGAATATAAATTGTCAACAATAAAAAATAACAACAGCTACAAAAAATGCCTGATCTTAGACAAGCTACAGGTGAAGATGATGATGATGATCTAAATGTGTTTTCATCAACTGAAATTAAAGATAATGTCGTCCATGAAGAAAAGAACAATATTAATGGACAATTGAAACCTAGTTTTTCACCATCATCATTTTTGATGAATGAAAATCTAATCGATTTGATTACAATCGAAAAATTCTGGAATAAACAACGACGATCATTTGAAAAAGAAATATTTCCCGATTTTTTCATTATAGCTTTGGTTAAATTCAACATATTCAATGATGATGATCAAATTAATTATCAACAAATACGTAGTTCATGTGATTTAGATAATCCTAAAGATCGTATTTCAAATTATAAAAAACTAAATGACTGGATATTCGATCAACTTCTTGATAAAATACGATGTGATTTTAAAATTTTAGCACAAATTATTGAAGCATTACGTTATGATGATTGGTATGTATCATTAGCTGAATCTTGGCAACAACAATTACAACGAAAATGTCAACAAGTTAATAATGAAAAATCGCTACAATCATCGAAATTGACAGATAGTAAAAAATTACTAATTAATTTTCCTCAACCCATCTCTTATAAAATTGATCTGCAATCAAAACGTAATGAAATAAATTCTCATCTAAATGAAATTATTAAAAATGGTAAATTGATTTTTGTTGATAGAATTAAAATTTTTAAAAAAAAAAAACTTTTATTCATAGGAAAAGGATGGATAGTTATTTATGGTCGAAAAGGTAGCGGTAAAACAGTGTTAGCCGAAAGTTCGTTAAGTCGATATGATTTTTCGGATTTAACTGATGGCATCTATTGGATTACCATTGGAAATTTAACTATAACAGACAATGAAAATATGGATCATGAAGAAATGCTTCGTCAAGAACTTTATCATCGATTAGAGCTTCTTTATGAATCGATTGAATATTTTCATAAAACAAATCGACCTAAACCGGAAAGATTAGATAATCTTGTATTGAAATTGAATTTTCATTTTAATGATCATCCAAAATCGTTACTGGTATTGGATGATGTTCAATCAAGTGAAATATTTCAATATTTAAAATTCAATATACCAGTTGTGATCACAACATTCAATAGAAGCGTTATACCAAATGAACTTGAAAATGTTCGATTTGTACCAACTGTAGATAGCAAAGGCAACGTATTATCAATCGACGAATGTTATATATTGTTGAAAAAATGTATCAACAATAGTAAATTGAGTCATGAATCATATTCATTAGAAAATATTCATTTATCTCGATTATTTGAATCGCTAGCTGGCTTTCCCTATTGCATACCATTGATTGCCAATCATTTTAATCTTTTTCTTACAGATGATTTTACAAAAAACGAAACTAACGAAAGATTAGAAAAACTTTGCAAAGATTTATTTGAAACACTTTCGTCTGAAAAAAATTCTTTTCCAAATCTTGATAAATTTTTAGATAAAACTCTTGAAACAATGAGCGACAAAAAATTGGTCGATTGTTTTTATGATTTTGGAATATTTCCTGAACCAGTTTCATTTGATGTTTTAAAAATCATTTGGGGCACAAATAAACATATGACAGCAAATTATTTGGATCAATTATCTCAAAGATCATTAATCATAAAACACACAAGCAATGTTATTACAAGTCAATTGTTTACTGTTCATGATCTAACTGCTTCTTATTTGATGAGAAAATTAATTGAAAAAGAACAACTTAAGGTGAGTAATTCATTTAAAAATATTTGACGTTTAATTTCATTCTATTTTATTCTTAACAGGAACGTCATGAAAAATTGATTGATTCAATTCTTAAAGATTGTTGTCAATCATCAACAAGTTTGGATTTTGATTTATCCCGATTACCTGATGATCGATACATTCACCGTTGTCTTTCATATCATATTTATTCATCTGGTCGTTTTGATCTCTTCGTAAAAATTTTTCTAGATTTAAATTTTCTACAAAAAAAGATTCGTTTCGTTGGTCCAAGTCATGTACTCAGTGATTTTCATAATTATGGACGATATTGTCGTTCTGAATCAAAAAATCTAATTGTTTTTCAAAAATTTATCGCTTCAAACACTGACATTTGTGATCCTAAAGTCGATTTATTACAGGTTGCTCTTTGTCAATCAAACGATTCGATTGTTTACAATGAAGCTCGTCGATTGATTCATTTAAATTCCAATTTTTATTTTGATTGGTGTAACAAAAAGAATTTTGTATTGGAAAATCAGCACAAAACAATGAGCTTTAAATGTTTACCGGATACAACTTTTGCTGCACTTTCACCCGATTGTCATAGTATTGTTACCGTGAATGATCGTCAAATAAATTTATGGAATGCTAATACTGGCGAAAATATTTGCTCGGAACAAAACCACAATCAAACCATTAATCATTGTATTTTCAGTACTGATGGTCAATTTGCTCTGACTACTTCTGATGATGGCACTGCTATCGTTTGGCAAATGACTGGTAGACTAATTACAAATTCTAATCTTGAAATGGTCAGTGATAATGATCATTTTGAAGGACGACGACGACACAATTCTGCCAAAAATATTTGTTTGTTCTGTTACAAAATAATCGTACCAAATAGTTCGAAATATAAAACTGATTCAACAATTGGTGAAAAGCCATCATCTCATGCATTGAAATGTGGTGATATATCATCCGATAATCGATATTTATTACTTGGAACCAATAACGGATTTGTTTATATTTTTTCTTTGGACGGAAATTCACTATATTCATCATCTAATATTGATAATCTTCAAAGTGATGTTACTTGCTGTTCTTTTTCCTCTGATGTTCGTTATTTTTTATTTCTAATGCAAGAAAAAGTTTATGTTTATTCCACAAACATTATTTCGAATAATAATGCTAATCATTATCCGAATATGATTAAACCTTCATTGTATCAAACATTGGAACATAATCAAGTGGCTCATAATGCTGTGTTTAATTTAAAGCCAAAATCCAACAAAATTACTATATTCACATCGAGTGGTATGTTAAAAGATTTGGATTTCTTTTTTTATAATTGATAATTTATTTTCATTTTAGACAAAAATATTTTAGAATGGCATATCAAACAATCAAAATTCAGTCAATTATATCGAAAGAAAAAAATGGAAGAAAAAGATTGTTCATTTCGATATTTATTGCCAGAAAAAGCTCCTGGATATATTTCTATTTGTGCTGTTTCATCGGATGGCAAACAAATTGCTGGATTTGAAACAACTCGTAATGAAATCTATCTTTGGAAACGTAAACATCAACATACAATCAATTGTTTTCATACACTTTCATCAATTGTCACATTAACTTTTTCTATGAATGAACGATGTTTATTTACACTGAATTCTAGAAATGAAATTGCATTTTGGGATTTAGGACAGGTCGGTGTATTTATTCATTTTTCAATTGCTTTATTTTTGTTTTCATTTTTTTTTTTCAGTTCCCACCAATTACATCTGTCGTCGAATTGAAAGAAGATTTTGCTGCCATTTATGACGAATCAATTCTAAGTGTATTGACTATTGACAAGAAAGGATTTTTGCGTTTATTTCATGATAAATATGGTGATGAAGATAAAAAATTCAAAGAGAATTTAAAGCAAAAATTGGATGAATTTTTTTCTGCTAAAAATGGTGATGAAGTAAATAATAATTATCAGCATTTACTTCAACCAATAACGAATATTTTATGTTGTGACATATCCAAAAAAAATCGATCAATATTTGGTACAAATTGTGGACGAATTTTTTACTATGATAATTCTCAAGGGCAATTAATTTCATATCGTTATGATTATGAAGAAATAATAGAATGTCGTTTTTTGCCTGAAACTAATGATGATGATACTATACGATTGATTGCCATATCAAAAAAATCAATCAATCAATATCGAATCGATAATGAAATTGATCAATTGATTCATTATCATACATATAATAGTTCAATAATTCTAGCAGAAAATACCTCATTTGAATCGATTCGTTTTATTTCATCAAAATTGATGATCATTTTGACTGATGATTCTGATTTTATTATTTTTAATTTTGATTCATTAGAAGAAATATTTTGCATTCCAAATTCTAGATTTCGTTCAAAAATAACAAATATTGATTCATGTTTATTAGATGATTGTCATCTAATTGCCATTTCATTGGCTCAACATCGATTTGGTTGTTTAACCATTACAACAGATACAAATGAGATTTCATTGCAATTCTGGTCAACAATGAAAAATGAAACACCACGTTGTTGTCGAGTTTGTTCTGAATTTATTGTTATTGGATGTGATAATGGTAATATCTATTTATATGATTGGCAACAATTGGAAGATAAAAAACCATTTCCAAAATGGGAAGTTCAACATTCACAAGACTTATGGATTACACATCTTGATATTTCAAATGATAAACGATTTATCATATCTGCTGCTGATTCTATTAAACTTTGGCTTTCAATTGATGGTACATTGTTACAAACATTTATTACACATGGAAAAGTTTCACGTTTATTTGTACATTATGTTAATAATCTAAATTTGAATGATTCGGAATATTTTTCATCAAAAAATCATAATAATAATGGCTATAATAGTAATGATGAACATCAACTATCAGAAAATGGTGATCAAATTAATCATGAAATAACATCACCAATTTATGATGAACTTAATTTAAACATTACTATTGCTGCTATTACTGATACTAAATCTTTATACATATTGCAGAATTATCGTTTAAATAATTGTGAAAATTAGCACAATAAATAAATATCACCCTTATTGCTTTCTTAATTTATTTTATCTATTCTGTTTTATTTTTTTCTCTTTTGTTCAATAAAATTATTTATCAAAAATTTTTTTCTCCATAGTATTTTATATTGAGATTATTTATTTTTATTTTGATTATTATTATATAATATGATGATATCAATATTTTTTATTATAATACAAATTTCAATGTTTGAAGATAAATTATAAATGAATGAATGAAAAAAAAGAAAAAGTAAACATTCTTTGCATTAAAATCAATCAGTTTAAATCGAATGTTTGATTAATTGGTTGATGTGTTGTATGTTTAGTATCAATATAAGTAAAATGATCTGTATATGCAAGAAAACAACAAAAAAAAGAAGCAAACACTAATGTTTGAAAAGTCGATTGAAGAAAAGGATTGAACAGGAAAATAATTCAAAATTATTTAATTGATTGATTGATTGATTATGGTATTTGTTTAATATGGAATTTTGTAATGTTTTTTTTCATTGGATAAAATCTATTTAATGAATGAGCATTTTGATTGGGATTTTGATTGATCGATTTTTTTTATTTTGGAATTGAATAATCGAATCAAAGAAAAAAATATTGTTATTAATTTTTGTTTTGTTTTTCAGTTTCAGAATGGAATGAACAGAAAGAAAAAAATTTGGTCCAGATTTTTTTTTTGTCTGTTTGTTTGAATACAAATCAGAATATGAATTATTATAGTAAATATTGTTAGAATGAATAATAATAAAAGAGAAGAATTAGTGAAAACGAAAATCAATTACTAAATGGAGCCAAATTTATAATTAACAGAATTATTTAGTAATAGTAATATCCAATAGTTTTTTTAAAACTGAAATTTATGTGTGTGTTGTTACAATTGATGATTATCGAATCAAATCAATCAATTGGCTTCAATATTCAATGATAAAATATTCGATGTATTTGTAGCATCAATCAATGATGCTATTGTCGACATTGTTAATGCTGTGGTTGTTGTTGTTGATGTTGATGTCGATGTTGTTGATGTTGCCGATACATTTTGATCATGAATTATATTAGATGAACAAGATGCTGAAGACGGTGTTGTTGATGATGATGATGATGATTCAATATGATTACAAATACCAATAGAATTGGCTGCTATTAATGATAATGATGATGTTGATGATGTTGTTGATGATGGTGATAAAAAACATTCATTTTGTATTAATTGTTGATTATTATTTTGTAAATGTGTTGATCTTGTTTGTGTTAATGTTTGTGTTATTGGCCCAATATCCGATGTAATTGATTTATTATTATTTGAATCTAATGTTGTTGTTGTTGTTGTTGTCGGTGTCGGTGTTGATACTGTTCTCATGGTTGTCAAAGAATTTGTTGTGGAAGCCATCAATGAATTCCAAAGCAATGGATTCGGTTGACTATTATTATTATCATTATTATTATTATTATGTTCAATAATTAAATCATTTGATCTAAGCTGTTTACGATCATCATTATTATTATTATTATTTAGATTATTATATTCATCAATCAATGTTGTTGATGAACTTGAAGAAGACGATGAAGAGGAAGCAGGAGGTGTATCAGCACTTATCATCGAATTATGATTTAAATGTACAACATTTGTTGTTGATGATGATGTTTGTACATCTGAATTATTTAATGAAATCGAAAGTGAATTTGTATTGCAATGTTTCAATTTTCGTTTCTTAAAATATTGATCAGTTTTATTTCCAATTAATTGTTGTTGTTGTTGTTGTTCATGATGTTGTTGTGGTGTATGATGATGATGATCATCATCATCATCATCTGCTTCCAATTTTTCATGATTTAAAGATGTTTGTTTTTGTAATGATGAAAATGAACTTCCATTATAAAAATCGGTTACAATTGGTGTATGATTATTTGTAGCTGATGTTGATGCCGATGATAACATACCAAGACCATTCCAAAGAGGTACATGCATATTAAAATTACCAGCAAATGCATCAGTCGTTTGATGTGGATGTTGATGATGATGATGACCTGAATGATGATCTAAAGCAGAAGCTGCATTAAAAAATGTTTGATGAGAATTAAGGTCATTTGTTGGACAGTTTGCCGCTGCTGCTGCTGCTAAACTTGTATGTGCGGCAAATGCATGAAGATGTGGATGTGTATGAGATCCATAAACCGAACTAAATGTATTTGTTGAATTTGGATGTTCAGATCCATTGGACAATGATGATGTTGATGTATGATGATGATGATTACGATGATGATTTGAATATGTTTCACTACCGTTTAATGATGGCATATTTTGATGATGATGATGACCATAGTTATAAGTGCTACTTAATCGATATGGATTTGTTGCTGCATTTGTTGTGCTACTGTTTGAATCATGAAAACCTGAAAACGTTTCCGAATACATTAGGCCAGTCACTGGATTTCTAAGATATCCACCACTGAGATTTGTTGAACCATTATCATCATGATTAAAATTATCATGATTATATGATGTATGGTGTGGATGAGTTGAAGTAGCAATACCAGAATTTTGATGCAATTGATGATGATAAGTGCTAGCTGCCGTACCATAATGATGATGAGTATATGGATGATGACTATTTGCACTATGTCCACCCATAACATATTGGCCATGACGTTGTCCATGATGAATAGCAGCAGCTGCAGCTACAGCATAAATATCATTGCCTGTTGTATCGGAAGTTGATGAACATGTATTTGCAGCTCCATAACTATTTGTTTGATTATGTGGTCGTGTGGCTGAAGAATAATTGAGTAGATTTTCAGCACTGAAAAATGATGTAGTTGGTGCACGACTTAAAAGATTATTATGTTCAATATCATTCGATGTAGTCACCGAAACTGAAACATCGGTTGAACTTGGTGATTCTGATGATGGTAAAACAATATTCGTTGCTGAAGAAACACTACCAGAATAATTTGGCTGTGATGAATCTGTATCGATTGAATCGTGAACAATAGCTTCTGGATGATGTGTTTGTTGACGATGTTGATGTAATGGTGGTGGTGGTGATGATTGTGTTAAAGAATCATTATTATGCGATGTAATAGTTTGATGATGACTATATGGCTGATGTGTTGATGCAGTTGCTGGATGATGATATGCAGCATTATATGCAGCTGCAGCAACAGCCGCTGCAGCTGCTGCAGTACCACAATCTAATCCACCAATAGATAAAGAATGTGGATGACCAGAATGATGATGATATGCCGATGTAGCCGTATGTTGATGTCCAAACATTGAATGTGATGGTGCTTCACTTGCTAAATGTAAACTTCCTGATTCATCAAGCAATGCTGAATATGGATTACTATGATGATGAATAGCAGATGACCAGCTACCACTTGAATTAGTATAATTTGATGTTGTTGATCGAATATTTGCACTTGATAAATCCGATATTTCTGGACTAGTTGTACTATTTGAATGATTAATGGATGTAATTGCTGAATCAAAATGTATTTCACGATCACCGGTTATTTTAAGATTATGTTGAATGTTTCGATCAAACGAATTATTTGTTTCTAATGGTGGAGTTGAAAGATAATGTTGACTACTAATACTATTTGTATGATTCGATGTCATTGAAAATGAATTAGGTGATTCATAACGAGACATACATGATGATATATTGGCGGCTGATGATTTATTCTTTTTGGCTGATGATGATGATGATGATGATGCTCCCGATTTAAGTGATGAAGATTTTGATGATTTCTTTGTTGTTGTTGTTGTTGTTGTCATATATGATTGTGTATTATTATTGTTCGATCGAGATGTATTTCGTTGATTATGACTTTGGCTTTGGCTATCACTATGACTGCTTCCACTAGTCGAATCAGCAGCCTGATATCGTAATTTGTTTGTATTTGTATTAATGTCATTATTACATTTATTTATTGAATGACTACCATTATTACTATTTCCATTACCATTAACATCACAAACACTGTTAACACTATTTGTATTTCTTGATGATGATCGAGATGTTGATCGTTCAGATTTTATTGATTTAGATTGTTTTACAGTTGAACAATCATTAGTTGTTGTTTTGGTTGTAGTCGGTGTATTACCCGATGATGATGATTGTGAATAAGAATCATTAAGAAAATTACATGAATTTTGTTGTGATCCACCATTACTATTTCGATTGACAGTAATAGCACCAAGTCCACCATCCAAATAGGTTACCTTAAAATCCATGGTTCGTTTACTTAATAGATCTCTACCTTCTTCTTCCCTAAAAGTTATTAAAAATCGAAAAAAAATTTATTATCTTTTTTTCAAATTAATCTATTAAAATAGCTTACATTAATGGACGATGTGTACAAAGTATAAAATCAGGTTTACTATTTTTGTACACTAAACGTGCACTAGTTTGAAGCCATTGCCATTTTAGACAATCTTTACTTACTAATCGATATGCGATCAATACTGAAGCTCCAGTTTTGAGCACTAAAATTGAAAAAAATTGATAATTTGTTGAATCGTTAATTAAAAAAAAAAAAAAAAAAAAAAAAAACACTCTTACATTCTTGATGAGCGCTTGCCACATAGAATAAATCATCCTGATGTATAAGATCATAACCACCACGATTAGCTAAATCCGATTCATTATAACCAAGTAATGAACGACCTCTTGGTTCCATTGAAACCATTGAAAAATCAAGTTTATGTTTAGATTTAAATGATGCTTTTTCATTGGCTGGCATTTCTAATAATGATGGTGGACCAAATGGTGTACAAACAGCAAATAATGCCATTGGTGGTTCTTCACTTTTATGATTTTGTCCATGTAATATTTTGATTCGGCCACGTACATCCAATCGCTTGAATAATTTAAAAAAATTATTTAAACAAATGATTTTTTTTTTGTCTTTGAAAATACTAACCAAAAATCCAGAAGTATTATCCAATAAACAACGGAATCTTACAGTAAAATTACGTTCAAGAAGATGACAATTTTCTATATTTCAAAATAAATTGAAGATTTGTTATTTATTTTGAAAAAAATATAAACAATTTTTTTTTAAATTAAAGAACAAAAAACCAAACAAACCTGTTAATAAAATTTCAGTTAATTTTAATGTTGATCGATCTGTTGGTAGATTTGAATTCCACATTAAATGACGTTGTAATTCTTCACGATCTTCTGAATGTACTAATTCATAAACACTTTGATGACATATATCCGACTATATTAACAGTTGTGGTTGTATTCAATGAAAAGAAGAAGATAAAAATAGAAAATTAAATATTATTTTTAAAAAAATTATAATTATAATTTTTTTTAATGATAAAATGAATAAATCATTATCCAAAAAAATGGATTATTCAGCAAATTAGGTGTGTGTTTGGCTGGTTGGTTGACAAATAAAATCCAATCTAACCATGTGACCAAGCCTGATTTATGACATTTAAAATATAAAAAAATAGTGGCCTACAACAATAGTAAAGAATGCAATGTTTTTTTTGTTTTCCCCAATTCTGGTTTTGATTTATGTTACTTTATATTCTGTTTTACTCATAAATTGTTTTGGGTTTTTTTTCCATTCTCCCTTTCTCTCTCTACATATTTCCTTGTCTAGATAGATAGAGATAGTAGAGATGAACAGAATGATATTAACCAAAAAAAAATATGAATTGCAGCATTATACCCCATCCTCCTCCCCCCCAAAAAAAAACAACAGCAACATAACCTTTTTGAATATAATGATAATTCATGTTTTAGATTTTGAAAATTGATGATGATGATTATTGTTGTTGTTTTTTTTTGTTGATTTCCGTGGTTCATTCATAATCTTTTTTTTCTATTTTTTTTGGCCAAATTAACACACAATAACTAATATGTCAATTGTCATCTTTTCTCTCTCTCTCAGTGTGTGTGTCTTTTTATCCTATTCAGAGGCTAGTCATTTTTTTTTGTTGTTGTTGTTGTTCTCGTTATTGTGGTTGTTAATGTTGTTGTTGTTTTTTTTTCATTTACCTGGTTTTTTTTATTCATTTATTCATTCATTTGGAAAAAGGTTTTTTTCCTTCTTGCTGTGATGATGATGATGATGGTGGTCTTAATGAATTATAATCACCATCATCATCATCATTATCGTAATGGTTGCTTGTTTATTTATTTGGATTTTTTTTTCTCTCTCTCTCTCACTCACTCACTCACTCTCTTTATATCGTCAACAATTTTTTTTTCTTCAAACTAATTAGGTTTGTAATGAATATAATTAAGATTTTTTTTGTTTTTGTTTTGGAGATTCATTTGGCTACCAAAAGTTAAAAGATAAATAAATAAAATAAATGATGTTTGTATTCTGTTTATATTTCTGGTTATTTTAAGCCAGAAAAAAAGTGATTGATGAAATAAAGAAATGAAGCAACCAGCAAAATTGATGACCTTGTTCAAAAAAAAAATTCATTCATAAATGGACATAAAACTAGTTCGTTTTTCGGTTTTTTACCTATTAAAAATACCATTTTATACGTTTTGTTTTCAATCAATTTTGATGACCTGAGAGAGAGAAAGAAAAAAAACGTGTTCCACGAACATCAAACATGAAAAAAAAATATTCATTCCATAACGGGAACAACAACAACTAAACGATAAACGTGGTTTTTTGAGGTTACATCTGGTCTTAGTCAAATGATTGAGGAGAAAAAAAAACATCATAAAAATGGAGAGAAAAAAAAACAACCAGAAACACGAAAACAACAAACAAACAAATTCAAAATCATTCACATAATAAGAGTTTAAAAGGAAGAAAGAAGAAAAAAACAATGAATAAATTATCTTATTTCATTTGGAAAATTAGTTTTTTTTTTTTGGTTCCAAAATGATTGGATAACTTAATTTGAATTTTACTCAATTCAAAAACTTTTCACCAACAATTGATTCGATTCGATAGTTAATGGAACGGGCAATGAATTTTTTTTCGTTCTCTCATGATAATTATCCTCAGGTCAAACCATTTTTTTTGTTGCATTTTGAAAGGATAACGGTCAATATGTTATATGTATGCTGATATGGTGATCATCTCTCCTTTTATTACTTGTATTTACAAATGCTTATTATAGTAATTATCTACATCCTAAATTTCTTTTTCCCTCTCTCACTCTTTTACTGGTCATTTACTATACCGGTAGCCAACTATACCTAATAATAATCGTTGATCTGATTAGCCCGTTGATTTTTCTTTTTTTTTGCTGATGATGATGATTGTCATTGCAAAAGTTTTTCTTTTCCTGAATTGAATTATTATACAAAACCGTAGGTAAATTCAATTATGCCTGTCAACACACACACCGACAAAAACTAAAATTAAAATGGACATTTATTTTGGACATAAATGATTAATATTTTTTTTCTGCTGCAAATGTCAAATCAGTAAGGTCAAATCAGTTATATTAAATTGAAAAAAATGATAATAATAATAAAAATTTTTACCTGATGAAAACCAAGATAAGTTTCAACCGTATTGGATGTATAGAATACTTCACCATCACATGTAAGTATTAATAAAAATCCATTTAATGCTTGTAATATTAGATCACTTTCCATCATTGATTCAATTGCTATTGATGCAGCTGTCATTTCCGTTGTCATTGTCGTTGTTGTTGTTGTTGTTGATGGTGATAAACAATTACAATCAATAATATTACTTGTAATATGATTTGTATAATGTAAATGATTATGACGTAGATGATGATGATGATTATGATTATGATTATGATGCTGTATATTATGATTTGATTGTTGTTGTTGTTGTTGTTGATAATTAACAAATTGATGCGGCTGTTGATGTTGATGAATTGATTGAAAATTTTGTTGTTGTTGTTGAAAAATTTTGGCCGATAATGATGTTGCCTTTGTAGATGATGATGATGATGATGATGATGATAATGACGTAGATGTTGATGATGTTGATGGAGATGATGATGAACTAGATGTTCCATTACTACTATTATTAGTATAATGACCATTCAAATCTGAATTATTATTATTTGTTGTTGTTGTTGTTGATGATGATTTGGTTAAACCAATTGTTGATGGTGATGATGATGATGAATCACAAATAGATGTTGATATTGTTGTCGGATCATTGTTCGATATAGAATGTTGTTGTTGTTGTTGTTGTTGTTTTTGTTGTTGTAATATTTGATGTTGTTGTTTTGCTTCTCGATCTTTTCGTAATGCCGCTATTGAGATTATCATTATTAAATTGAATTGAATTGAATCAATCGATTTTCATCAATCAAAATCAAATGGTTATAATAATAATAAAAAAAATCAAAGTGAAAAAAAGAAGAAAAAAATTGAATAATTATTAATGATGATAATCAATTACAATGGATTCATTCAGCAACAAAAAGTATTCACATTCATCAATTACATCATTCATTCATTCATTCATTCATTTTAAGGATAATCCAACCTGACAAATTAATGATATTATACAATAATGATTTTTTTTTTGATCGATTGATCAATATATAACCATTGAAAAATATATATCGATTAAATCGATTTCTTTTCTTTTCATAGATTTTTTTAACTTTAAATTAGTATTTTACAGTATCGAATTAAATTCAAATTGAATTTTCATTTCATTTTTTTTTTATTGTTTGTATGGAGATAATTTCTCATTACCATCATCATCATCATCATCGATTAATACGATGGATGATGATGATTTATCGATCTATTTGATGTATGAAATGCATTTTTTTCTTTTTTCTTTTTTTTTCTCAAACAGTGAAAAAAAATCAAAGGTACGAAAAAGGTCATAGGTTATATTATCAATTGATGATGATATTGAGATAATAATATAATCACTATCATCATCAAGTATTGATTAGATTTTTGGTTTTTTTTACTTTGTGATCAAAAAAAGTTTGGGCGCCAAAATGGCCAATGGTCAGTTTCTTTTTTTGGATTTGATTTTTGGTAAAGAAACGAATTAACAACAACGACAACAACAAAATGAAAAAATTTCCCACCGAATTTTTGTTTTTCAAAAAACACGTTTATTCTTTTTGATAAAAGTAAATAATAAACTGTAATTGAGAATGATCATTAAATTATTTTTCTCTCTCTCACTCTCTTATTATGTGAGAATTGAAATCGAAATTGAAACTTATCATTGACCATATTACAATTGATCGACATTTACAAACAACAACAACAAAATCATTTGATAATGATAATGACGATTATGGTTTGACTTTTTTTTTTTTTTTGCTGGTTCTATTAGTTTGGATGGTTGATTTTCTGTTGTATTTTTTTGTTTCTGTAGTGAATATCTTCTGGTAAGAAAATAAAAAATAAAAAATAAATTTGACTGATATGACCTGATGATGATTGATGGCATTATCATTCAAAAAAAAAACAACAACAACAAAGTTTGCCTGCCAGCAAACTATCCAGTCAGCCAGTCGGTCGGCTTATATTTGTTACCATCGTGAAATTGGTCTGAATCTTTATTTTCTGGTTTTGTTTCAAACATTGAACTTTTTGTTGTTGTTGTTGTTGTTGTTGATATGAATCACCTCATCAACAACAACAACAAACGAATCGATATCATTTCGAAGAATCCAACAACAACAACAACATTACTATCATCATATTTAGCACGCGTTCATAGAAGAAACAATAAAAAATTGAATCCTATCCAGAAAAAAATGATTCGATAAAGTTGTGTATTTGTAATTTCGTTTTCTTCTCTCTCTCTCTTGTATGAGATAATAATAATGATGATTCAGAAAAAGAAAAAAAGAAATTCGTGTATCACGAGCTCATTATTATTGTTGATGATGATGTTCTAATCTAATCTCTACCTTTTTTTTGTCTACCCAATGATGATGATCATGGTCATGATAATAACGATGCGATTATGGTCCTCCAACCAACAACCAACAAAAAAAAAGACCGACTAATCAACCAGTCAAGGGAACCAAAAAAAAAACCTTGGTTACATATTTCATGATCACACACACACACACACCTGGATAATGATATTGGCCATGTGCACATACAGCAATCATACAGTAGCCATATGTATGTCATACATCAATGCTTTATTTTCATTATTAAAAATGAAAATATCAAAAAAAAACATTTTACAAATTCATTCATTTTTGGATCATTCATTCATTCATTCATTCGATATTTGCTTATTGATGATCGAGGCAAAAAAAAAAGATAGAAAAACAAACAATTCAAACAGACAGAGCAAAATAATCGATAACGATGAACGAATGAATTGAAAAAAAAAATTTCTCACAATTATTCAATGAAATGAAACGCAACGATTTCATTTATAATGGTTTAACTTTATTTAAATAGCTAGAAAATTGGTTATTTTTTTTGTTGTTGATCTGTTGCTGTTGTTGTTGTTCCTGATAGGAAAAAAAATTTTCAATTCTCCTCCTTCTCCTCCTCATACCCCCTTCATTCACTATTATGCAACCATAATTTGCCAGATTGGGTGGAGGTTTGTATGTATGTAGTTTGCATAGGAAGGAAGGAAGGAAGGAAATCCAAACAAACAAGCAAATATGAATGGAAGGAAGGAAATGTAGAAAATAAATTTGAATCTTTCTTGCTTTTTTTTGTATGTTTTTTCATCATGATGATGATTGACGACTGATTTGATTGTCATCACCATTATTGTTATTATCATCAATGAAAAATTTAATTTATTAAAATCAACAATGAAAGAAAAAGAAGAAGAGTCATTCACATATACACACAGAAAAGTAATCATCATTTTGTAATCATTTTTACAACAACAAAAAAAAATGTGAAAATTTTCTGCTTTATAAAGCAAATATAGTCAATATTAGTAAAAAATAATTCATTTTGTTGTTGTTGTTGTTGTTACAATCTTGTCAAGAATTTGACACAGAATAACAACAAGTGTAAGTAAATCAAACAAAAGCAAAATGAAATTTTGTTTTGCTTTGTCCAACTATAAAGAAGCATAGAAAAATTCCATTGATATTCATTAAATATCAATGGAATTTCAAATATTAATAGGAAAATTTTAATGTTGATCAAATAAATTAAGATTGGCACGCAATAACTAAATTTTCATTCAGGGGTTATTCTCAGTAAACTAAAAAGTACACTATGGTCAAGAAAAAATTATTATTATGATTCTTTTCTTTTCTGTATACCCCCCTCTCTGTTTGTTCACATAATTCCATCTTGATGATTGACTTTTGATTTTTTTGATAACAGCAAAAATCAAATCAAATCCTGTTTATCAGTGTGTGTATGTACACCATAATTTGTCAAGGATTAAGCGATCAAAGCAATTCTTATTCCGAAAAAAACAGAGACGACGACGACGACGAAATTTCATAGATTTAAATCAACTTAACACTCAATCAATCAATCAATCAATCAATCAATTGATAATGATGAACAACAATTTTTCTACCTTATTATCTTTTTTTTTTTGATATAAATCATCAGTCAAATATTAGAATATTATTTTCTTCTTCTTGCTGCTGTTCAATGTCGACGAGAGAAAAAAAAGCAAAATTAGGCTACTTACTTACTTACTTATTTGGTTGTTTAAAAAAAAAGAATATTTTTCTCTCGATTTTATTATATCACACAAGACACACTGATATTGCGTGATAATAATACAGGAGGCGTTTTTTTGTTAAGTTTTCTGTCTCTGTCTTGTGTCTTGTGTCACACACACAACATAATCAATCAGTTTTTGTTAATCGAAGAAAAAAACCCAATGAATTTTCATTTATTTGATTCATCTATATAGATCAACAACTTTTACAATGTTTTTTTTTGTCGGTAAACAATAATAAAATAACCTAGTTGACCTTTTTCTCTAGGTACATAGGACTATATTGATATTATTTATATTTTTTTAAATAGCTCACGCAATCTTTTTTTTTCCTAGGGTCTTTTCTTTTCTGTATGACATATGACCCCTTATATAATGATGTTCTATTAAGTGATGATAATATCATCATTATAATCATCATTTGTTATAATCATTATAAACATCATTAGTTATTAGTTAGTTATTACAACCTTATTAACAATCATAGAGGAAATTGGAAAAAATAATCATCATTATATTGTTTATGAAAGGCCCTAACAGAAATCATTCAAAAATTGTTTCATCCAAAAAATATTATGCAATCATCATTTTTTGAATTGATTTTCTTTGTTTGTTTCCTATGAAATTCAGAAAAGAATACAGAATTAAAGATTATCATCGATTAGGTTCATAATGAAAATAAAAACAACTCAAAGAAAATTGTTCAAAAATAATAATTCTGGAAAATTTCCTTCCCCGCTCTTACTTCCCGAAAAAATTGCCCAAAAAAAAAATAAAATAAATTGAAGAACAGAAAAACAGCGAATTTTGTTTCAAAGTCAATACAATATTTTTGCTGTTTTCGGACCATTCCGCCCCTATTTCCCCAGCAAAAAAATGTCACGCATAAAACTCATCGAAACGAATGATGAAAGAAAAAAAAACTGAAAAGAATTCCAATGGTCTCCAATAGACTCGTTGATCGTCATTGTATGTTTAGGATGAAATTCTTTTGGTAAAAGTTTTTTCATCATCATCATCATCATCATCATAATCAACACCAAAAGCATTGGGTCCACATTTTTTTTCTTCTTTCATTTGTTGTTTGAAATGAAAATTTTCAAATTATTAAAATGTTCGTGTTCTTTTGTTTGGTTTAGTTTTTAGTTTTTTTTCCGTTTTATATTAGACTTTTCTTTTCGGGAAAATATGAAATTCATTGAATTTTTTTTTTTTGATTAAATCATTATTTGTCCTATATGACTATTGTGTAATCAATTTTTTTTTCAACATTTCCATTTTCCGTTTAGTTTTTTGTTTTACCTACATTCATTCTCATTGGCAGAAAGTTCGTTTTAATTCGTTTTCGTTTCACCTTATTGGTGTTGTTCTGGTGGTTGACATCGAACATTGTGAATCATTTTTTTTATCGCCAATGACGAATTCACACACATATTTGGGCAAATAAATGAATGAATCGATAAAGAAAAAACAAACAAACAAATCAAACAATAATAATGAAAAAACAAGAAGAAAAATTCATTCATGCATATAGTTTTTGAATTTTTTTTTTATATTCGAAAAATATGATGGAAAAAAAACATTTTTTTCACCTTTTTTTCTTTCCTGGCTGATCAACGAATAAATTGCTGATGATGAACACAAAAGGTAGAGAAACAAAAGTTTGATAAAATGAAAAAAAAAGACAAGGCTTGATCACTACCAAAAAAACAACAACATTAAACATCAGCAGAACAGAACAGCCCTGCAAAAACAATTATAATCATGTTTGGGATTTTCAAAGATTCCATTATTTATCAAAAATAATAATAATAATAATAATTATGCTGATGATGATGATGATGATGACTGTAATTAAAATCAATTTTAATTCAATGAGAATTTTCGGTTGTTGCTAAAGCTCTGGCCACCCTTAATATAGGCAATGATGATGAAGTTCTGTAGTTTTTTTTTATCATCGAAAAATCAAACACGCAATCATCAGAATTATGGCCATTGATGTCGATATAGACAAATTGTCAATTCCAATATTGAAAAAAACGATGAAATTTTTGTACCCGAAGAGAGAGAAAAGTTTTTTTCAGGAATTTTTTGAACCTTTCAAAAAATCGAATACAAAGTAATAAACCAAGTTTTTTTTGTATCTAAATGATGAGTTTCTCTAAGTTGGTTATATAAATAGAATTTTTATCAAGAATATTCTTGGATTTTTTTCACAGAATTTATGAATTCATTTTTTTGAGAAAAGAAAAGAAAGAAAACAATATGCAAAATATTCAATTGATAATGCTTTTTCCTGGCAAAAAAAAGTACAAACAAACAGATAAATTTCGAAATTTTTTTGCATTTCCTGAGAAAACTTTCATCCAATATGGATGGAATTCATTGAGAAGATAGAAACAAAAAAAAAACTAAACCTATTTACACACAAATGATAAGTGTAATTAAGTATTTAAAAACAAAAAATATCTAGGATTGTCATCATCTATGGATGGGATAAATGTCATCATTGTTTTTTTTGTGAAATTTTTGTGAAAATGGAAAAACTGTATAATTTTCATTACAGAAGCGATAATCATGAACAACAACAACAACAACAGAAAAAATAAAGGCTTGGCATTCCATTTTCTTCACAAACAAACACAATTATTTGTCAGTTTTCAAAGAAATTTTTGATGAATTCAAAACAAAAACAAAAATCTTTCAAAAATAGATTGAATAAATGATGAATTTTTTTTTNGACAAATTATTTTTCAATTCCAAAAATTTTTTTAAAAAAAAAAAACGATGAAATTTTTTGTACCCGAAGAGAGAGAGAGAGAGAGAGAGAAAAGTTTTTTTTTCGGGAATTTTTTTTTTGTAGAAGAAGAAGAACCTTAAATGACATTATTAACTAGAATATCAACAAAAAAAAGACAAGTTTTGAAAAAAATCGATTTTTTTGTTTTGCATTTTTATTTTTCAGAAAAATCGAATACAAAATAATATAAATCAAGTTTTCTGATGTATGCATGTGTTTATAAATAGAATTTTTATCAAGAATATTCTTGGATTTTTTTTCACAGAATTTATTCAGTTTTAATAATGTATTTTTTTTGAAAAAAAGTACAGTCGACAAACAAAACAAAACAACAAAAAGAAAAGATGATAATTTTTTTTTTGCTTTGCTTTTCCGAAGAAAATTTCTATCCAATATGGATGGAATTTGGAAAGAAAAACGAAATGAACACTAAACCTATTTACACACAAATGATAAATGTAATTAAGTATTTAAAAACAAAAAAATATCTAGGATTGTCATCATTTATGGATGGAATAAATGTCATCATTGTTTGTTTTTTTTTTTGGAAATTTTTTTTGTGAAAAAAAACTGTATAATTTTCATTACAGAAGCGATAATCATGAACAAAAACAACAACAACAACTGAAAAAAATAAAGGCTTGGCATTCCATTTTCTTCACAAACAAACACAATTATTTGTCAGTTTTCAAAGAAATTTTTGATGAATTCAAAACAAAAACAAAAATCTTTCAAAAATAGATTGAATAAATGATGAATTTTTTTTTGTCGCAAAATGTAAATGTAAAAATCTGATCTTTTTCACAATGCAGTGAATGTTCCGTTGTTTTACAGTGGACATTCTGTGTGTGTGTGATTGAAGGTGTGTGTGCGGACAATGTGGAATCATTTCTATGGGATCGATCACAGATGTCCACATTGTCATCATCATCATCATCATCATCGTAATCATTATCATTCGCTGGACATTTGGACATAATAATATTATTATTATTTTGTGATGGAGAAATAAAAAAAAACTATATGGATAATGAAAGAGCTAGAGATAGAAAGAAAGAAACTAATCGACCATAGAATGATGATGATGATGATTATGGGAGCCAAACCCGAAAAACATCAACATCAACAACGAAAAAATATAGAATGAAAAAAGAAAAACAAATTGATAACAAACAATTAGGTTTGAGGCTAGTCATCATCATCACAATTTAAATCTTCATCATCAACACAATGACAGAACAGTAATCATCATCATCAACAACAACAATATTTTCTACTGTGATTTTCATTCGTAAATTTGATTTTTTTTTTTTTTTTGCTAACCATAAGGGGATAAAACCTTCGAATGTGTAGAAGAATTAAATTACTGGTTTCGGGTGGCTGATGACAATCTATTGTGCTGGCTTCAAGCAATCTTTTTTTTTTGCTATTTCTATCTCTTATCGTTGTTGTTGTTTTTTTTCACTTCAAGTTGGTAAAAAACAAAAAAACAAAACAAAAATTTCGAAACCAGTGGCCAAGCCTAAGGTGTGTGTGGGAGATATAGTCATATGATGATAATCATCATCATCATTGTCATCAACATTATTCAGGAATTTTCGTTACAAATTTTTTTTTTTGTTGCAAGAAAATTCTTTTCCGGTGGTAAAATTCTCGTGGACCAGGGAGAGCAAAACTCCTCCTTACAGAGAAATATTTTTCATTTCGTTTCGGTCAGCCAAGGAGGTGTTTTTTCTACCAAAAAATATTTACGTGTGATAGGTATAATTATTGACAACAAAAAAACATAAATTCTTCATGAATGAAAATTCTCAGCAAAACAAAGCACAAAAAAAATGTCAAAATTTTTGTCTTCTTTCCAACAGAAATTGATGACTAAATTAAACATTTTGAACAAATAAACAAACAAACACACAGAGAAATCTGGTTCAAAATTATATTCAAATTTATCAGAACAAAAAAAAAGAAAAAAATGAAAAATTGTACATGGCATTTTCGGGTGTGCTGTGTTAATTGTGTGGATAATAACATCGATAAATGGTTAACGAAAACAACAAACAAACAAACAACTATGCCACACGACATTTAAATTGTTTTGTTCTGTTTTGTTTTTTCACGAAAGAATTTTCCTTAGAAAAGAAGAAAATTATCCGAAAATTTGCCCAAAAAAAAGAAAAACTTTCACTTGGTTATCCACACTGGCACACAATATATGCATGGCCCAATTATTTATATAATGAAGTGAGATTCACGCTCGCGTCTGTTGTTTTTTTTTCGATTTAATAATGATAATAATTCTATTGTTTTAGCATCTTTAAATTACAAAAAAAAAATGAAAGAAGAAAATGACTGTAAAAAAATATATGTTTATTACATGCATCATCATATCTATAATTATCATTATCATTATCATTATATGATGATGATAATAACCATCAATCGATGTGTTTATGTGTTTTTTTGTTTGTTCGTTCTTCGTTGAATGTTTTGTGGTCAATCATTTTTCAAATTTTCTCAAATTTTCGGTTGTGAATTTCAAATAAAAAAAGAAGTAAAATATGAAAAAAGAGAGAACATTTATGATGATAATGATTATCATTTGTTGTTTTTCTTTCTTTCTTTCTTCATGTGGTTACTGATTCTTTTATTCTTTTACTGACTATATATATGTTTTTTATGATCATCATCATCGATGATGATGATGATGATAATGATCTACAAAAAGAAAAAAAAATAGGGAAGCAGCAAATACATTATGAATATTTGTGCAATAATAATTGATCGATCGATCGATTCAACATTTCGATTTTTTGACTACCGATCGATTTCGGGTTGTTTTTTCTTTTCTTCTTTTGCTGTATGAAAAGTTTGATTCGATTTTTTTTCGACTGTTGCATCCATTATTTATTTGTTTTTTTTTTGTTTTTGGTTTGTTTTTTTTTTGGTTACCTATGGTTAATTATCATCATTCAATATTCATTACACTTTTAGAAGAAAAAAAATGCAACTCTTTGAATATCAGTACAAGGTCACTGATGATGATGATGAAAAGAATTTTGTTTTGCTTTTTGGCGTTTATTACCGCTGATAATAATAATAATATAGCAGTGAGATGAGAAAAAATGAAAATAAAAACTGAAGAATAAACTCATATCGATAACAAGAAACAGCAGCAATCAAATGGAAAAAAATTTGATAATTTCAAATCATTTTTTGTTTTTCTTTTCTCTTGCAATACTTACATTGAAAATAGCTTTTAGTTCGTAAATATGAAACACTTAAACGTAATATTGATAATTTATCTAATTTTGATAGAACACTTTGTTCAAATGGTAATAATGATGCTAACATATCTAATTCAGAATTTAAACGTTCACGATGTCTTTTTGATGGATTTGTTTTTATTATCGATTGATTATTTGTATTTGTATTTGTATTATTAGTATTATTGCTTATTGTTGATGATGCAATCATATTATGATGTTGTATATTATTATTATTATTATTGCTTATATTATGGCATATATTAACCCCATTTGTATTTAATGATCCTGTTGTTGTTGTTGATTGTTGTGTACCACTTGATAATTGATGCGATTGTTGTTGTTGATGATTAAGAAGATGATGATGATGATGAGAATGTTGTTGTTGCTGTTGTTGGTGGTGATGTGGATGATGATGATGATGATTATTTAAATGATGACCGGAACCGGTATTTAAATTTCCATTTTCTAATGATGATGATGATAATGCTGTTGTTAATTTATATTGCTGTTGTAATAATGATATTGTTGACGATGTTGTTGTTGCTGTTAAAATAGCTGTCGTTGATAATGGTAATGTTGTTGTTGTTGATAATGGTATGACCAGACTTTCTTTATTCAAACGTAAACTAAAGGGAAAAAATTGAAAAAAATTAGTTTTTCAACAACAAAAAAACCAAAATAAATAAAGAATAAAAATAGAAGAAGTTATAAAATACACAAATTTACAAGAAATTCGTCCCAAATTTTACACCCAAACAAAATAATGATAATTTTTGAATCTTATTCAAAAAATTTAAAAGAATGAATAATTTTCCATTTTTACTATTTCATTCTCACTGTTGTTTCTGGTTCAAAGGTAATTTTAGTTATTGGTTAACGTTTTTTATTATTATTATTTTTATCATTATTATAGTTATAATTAAAAACAGATCAAATCTAATGTTTGTCACACACACATACTATAATTATTGACGTTTTTTTTCGCACTGTGGTTATTGTAGGTGGCAAAATTTTTAACCAAAAAAAAGAAAAAATAAAAATTTCTGCTGTAATCATCATTATCATTATCATTGTTATAATTCAATGAGAGAAACAGAAAAAAAATATCACCTTCATGTTTTGAAAAAGTTCATTTTTTCCATTGTATTTTTGCTGATCAAAACAAAAATGAAACATTGAAAATAAAATTTTCAATGGATGAATGATTTGTGAATATTCTTAATCAATGAATGAATATAAACAACAGCAGCAACAACGATGATAAATTTAATAATGATAATTACAATGCATCAATGATCTTTGATCTTTGATTTGCAAAACCATCACCAACAACAACAACAACAACGATTATTGTGTTCTTATTCTTCCTCCTTCGTTTTTTACACTTTGTTTGATCCATTTTTTTACTTGAAAATTTCTCAATCAAGATTTGTTTGTGTTGCCTTAATGAATATTGAATTTCTAGTGGGTTTTTTTCTTTTGCAAATTTTCATTAAAATAATAATAATTTTTCCCCCCTCCAAACAAACAAACAAAAAGATTCGAGAAATTTGACAATTTTGATTTGCAATTTTCGTTCTTGTTTTCTCTCTCTCTCTCTCTCTCTCTCTCTCTCTTTGTTCCAAATCAACAAATAAATCTCGACCGAAGAACAAACGAGAAGAGAAAGAAAAGAAAAATCCTGTAGGATTAATTTTTGAAAGAAACCGCCCAACATGTCAACAACAAGATTTTTTTCTTCTTGAAATGTACAGGAAAACAACGACAACAAAAGTATCATGTAAATGAGAATTAATTGACTTTAATCGATTTTGATTGACATAATCAACAAAAAAAAAGGAGAGAAAAAGAAAGAAAATAAATCAACTTTTTTTTTTGGTTGAAACTAATGAAAAAAAACAAATATTTTCGATCATCATTAGATTAGAGATTTTAATCAAGCAAGTGAGAAAAAAAAATGACAAACAACAAACAAGAATTGGAACAGCAAAAAATGGATTCCTTTGAAATGGATTTTTTTCCTAATTAAAATTATTCAACCTTATCTGTTATCGATTAATGTTGTTGTTGTTGTTGTTGATTTTGGCACCACATCCATCAGTTTGGTTTGTTTGTTTGTTTGAAAACAAAAATTCTGTTATATAAAAGCAACGATATGATGGATATATAGAATATAAAATTCTGTTGTTTATATTCTTTCAGTATGTTCTTTCTATCTGTGTGTAAATAAATGAAAATGGATGTGTATAGATTGGATTTGGATGTACCAATGGATTTATTGAAAGCACACTGAAAGTATTTAATAATAATAATAATAAAAACAGCAGAATATATATAGAATATATAATGAGTGCAATAGAACTCAAATGTAATATAGCAATATAACGGTTATAGTAATAACGGTACGAATATTTTTTTTATTTTTTTTTTTTTTTTTTTTTTTTTTTTTAATTTTTTTTTTTTTT